GGAGAGTATCAAGTCAAAGCATTTTAAAGTTGTAGAAGGAACTAGAATAGATCTGGGAAAAACATCCCTTCATACTACTAAGTCAGATTCCCTTTCTATATCTCCCATAGCATGCTCTGATCTATCCTTTTTCAAATATCGCTGTGTTTATTGTGTTGGATGTGGTTTTTCTCTAAATACTCCCATTTCAGTGTTATATTATGATCTTTATCTCCTTTTATACTATATTTATTGATTTTAAGAGCCTTACTTTTTCAAATTTTAACACAGCTGAAAATAAGACGCATCTTAGAATCAAAACATTTTATAATTATAATTGGCAGTGCTTTTTCCTTCCTATTGGTACATAAAATAATGTTGCATCTTACAATCAATGGCATCATAGATTCAAAATATTTGGGAGTTATGCCTTGTCTTCTGGAGTTTCCTGAATTGTAACCCCTTTAAGGAGTTTCCTCCCTGAGGATAGTTTAGGTTTTGTTGCAACTATTTTAGTTACTTATGTTTCCCTTCCCTTTCTCAAACACATCTAAAAATGTCCACCTTCATACTCATTCTTTGGATCCTGCACTGTTTTAATGTCTTATATATCTAATATATCATAAAAATGTAAACAGTTAGAAGAAAATAATATCATCTAATTTTGAATCTTCTGGTTCTGAGTAGAATAGTGCTTTTGAGACGATCGATGTTACCTCGAAAGCAACATGAAATGCAAAAAAGTCTCTCTTAAATGTATGCGAGAGCTGCTGAAGCAATGAGGACTAAAGGGACTAAGATTCAAGAAAAGAGAGAACTGCGGAGAAGTGAGCTGAAAATCTGCTCTACTTTTCTCTGGGGTCAGTTGCTGACTCCAGGCATGGGCCAGAGGCAAAATCCAGGCTTTGACTAGTCGGAGGGATACTTCTGGGGAGCATAAAAACTAGCAGGGCTTTAGGAAGTCTAATAGAAATGGAGTGACAGAGGAGGAGACATTTTAGGAGCCTCAAAGAGAAGACCTGTTCTCCTCTTAAGACAAGTCTGTGACTTCTGCCTGCTGCCCTCTCTCCTGTGTTCATTCTCTCTCCATCTCTCTCTCTCTGCATCTCTCTGGGCCTCTGTCTCTCTCTGTGGGGCTGTGTCATTTTCTGTCTCTCTTAGTCTCTCCCGGTCTCTGTTTCTCTGTCTCTTTCTCTCACCATTTCCATCTCTTCTTCTTTGTCTCTCTGTCTCTCCTCTCTGGCTTTATGTCTGTGTCTCTCTCAGTCTTTCTCTCTGTCTCTCTGATCCGTTGTTCAGGAGAAGCAAGACGAGATATTCTGAGCTGCGCTTGGTGGCCCTCGTGCAAAGAGCTAGTAGAGGGTCCCGGCTCCCAGACGGAAAAGACTCCCAAATCCATCCAAATGGCGTCCTGCCAATAGGCGGACAGTGGTGTCCGAGACAGCCTCCGTTGAGCCTGCAGCCTCAGCCTCCCGGGAGACCTGGAGGCAGAGGTTCCTAGCTGAGCTGAGCCTGGATCCTGGGAGAGAAACCTGTTTGTTCTTCTGAGTACTAAGTTAGGGTCGTGCTCACACCCAGCATAGACAGCTGGGAGCTCCTTCCAGGCCTGAGTCTGGCCCTGCCCTCCTCTCCTCCAGCCTCCTCTCCTCCCCAGCTCTCTCCAGCCACTCTAGCTCCTTTCTCACCTCCTCTCGGCCAGATTCCCTTGTGCCTCCGAGTGTCTGGCCCTTGGAGCTTCCCTTGGCACACTGCTCCCAGATGTGCGCAGGGCTGGCTCCTCTTGCCCTTCTACTCATGGCACAAATGTCCACTCAGAGGCCTTTAGACCCACCTCAGGTGCCAGAGTCCAGCTCCAGCTGAGTCCAGGTTCCTGAGGGAGGAACCACGTCGGCAAAGGGAGGGGAAGGGAATGAGACTGCACACCAAGTTGGTGAAAGCACGTCTGAAGTCTTTATTGTCAAGCGTGCGTTTATGTACATTTTAAGGATTACATAAGCATCTGGGGTACATCTATTTTCTGCCCTGAAATAGCTGGGTTTTTCCCCATGATATCATTTTACTTCCTTAATCTATTTGAGTCACGAGCAATTTCTAAAGGTTATTTCCCTTATTCAGTTTTGGTAAAGAGTTGTTCTTCTCATTTTCTGGGTAAGTGTAGTTAATATTTATAGATCTCTACAGTATTCTTTGCAGGGGGCGAGACTCAGGTTATGCTGGACAGAACAAGCCTTGGGGCAAAGGCGAGCCAAGGTACGTCTAGAACAGGCACATACAGGTCCCCACATCCTCTTCTATAACTCCCACACTGAGACATCTGACCTTTTCGTCCTCTTTTTTTGGCAGGGCCCTGGGGATATTGAAGGAGTGTTAGTCAGAAGAGGGTCTTTCTTGTCTATTACAGTGAGATTCACCTTTCCTGGCAGATTCCCCTGGGTAAGCACAAGCGTCATGAAGAGAGCCAATACAGCAACTAGTAACATCAGATTGAGCAAGGAGGACCCTTGGCCGTTCCTGCCGGGGTTGCTTTGCAAACTCCCATGGTTCATGTGACCCGACACTGTCACTGGGCTACAGCAGTTGCAGGACTGCGTCTGGCACTCAGGGCTGCAGGCCCTCCCTCCAGCACCCTGCTTCATTGCCCTCTAGCACCTGCGTGTCTTTTCCACATGGATTTGCTTTCCTCACTTGGTCCCTTCCCCTCACAGTCGGTGAGCTCCTGGAGGCCACGGGCCGCGTGAGGGCTTTCAGAACCGCCCCCAGGCTCACAGCGCGCCTTCACAGAGTGAGTGCAGGGCCCACAGCAGCTGAAAGAAGGGGATGATCTCAGAGGGCCTTCCACCTCTGAGCAGCTCCCATCGTGGCCATGGATGCCAATCACGAAAGGTACCTGTTGCTTTGGCTGGGGGAACGCCCAGAATGACCGCTGAGTGTGCCTTCCCTCTTCCAGTTACTCCTCTGAGCACGAGTGGCCACCAAACCCCTGGTGGTCAGGCCCAGCATTGCAGCAACAAGCAGGACAGTGGGAGAGAAAAGACACACCTTTGTTCGGGGCCTGGAGGCAGCGGTTCCACCAGGGCCCAGGGCGCAAAGGAGAAGGCCGTGCAGGCTCCGGGGGTGATGTGAGGGACCTGCGAAGCCTCTCTTGCTCCCTCTCTCCCTGCACTGGCCGTGGCATGTGCACTTTCCCCACGAGGCCTCCTCACCGCAGCCAGGGCACTGACTCTACTCCACGTCCAAATGAGGACCCCGAGGCTCCAACAAGGATGGCCTCGGTCCTGCTCTCCAGAGGAGGGGTCCTGTGCTCTGCCACGTTCTGCAGTAGCCAGGTGCCCAGCCCACCTACAGCTCAGGCTGCCCTCTGCCCAGAAAGGCCTCGAGGGACTAGAAGGCCCTGTCCAAGGCCTCGGAGAACAGTGGGTCATGGATGGACAACCGAGATCTATAGACTCTTCTACAAGCTTGTGGGGTCCTTGGAGTCACTCCTCTAGGCTCCTCAATTGACGGAGAAGTAACCTCAGGCCTTCTATCCACTAGCCCCTTCCACACTGGGGGCGGGGACAGGGGGGGTGTCACATCCTCCATCCAGGTGCCCAGAGTGGTGGACACAGGACCCCAGACCTTGTCAGGCATCTCTCCTCCTCATGCTGCAGACCTGGGCATGTTCCTAGGGGACTGGAAACCCCTGGGCCGAGGCAGAGCCACCTCCAACCTCTTTCTTCTTTGCGGCTGTCACCTCCTCAGTGTGCACTCCCCTCCTGACCCCCACCCTGGGCAGGCAGAGTGTGTTTGAGTGTGAGAGTGAGTGTGCGCCCATGTGCGGATGCCCAAAGGAAAGGGCCCCCAATGGGAGGGCGTGGACAGAGGTCCCCCAGGATCTTAGGGGTTCTCCTTCCCAAGGCCAATCTCCTGGGACGCTAGAGCTGGCCCAGGGGCCTGGAAGCCCCGCTCCTCCTCTGGACTCTGCCCACCTCGCGGGCCCAGGGCCAGTCCCTGTTTCCCCTGGCCTCAGCTTCCCAACTGTCCCGTGAGGGTTGCGCAGGAACGGCATCAGCCCTGCTCAGCACGAACACAGCCCTGGGCTCCTGCCCCCTGGGGTGTGACGGGGCCGCCCTCAGGGGCTCCCTGGCCTCTCTCCCTCGGGGCAGCCGGGCCTCCTGTACACGTCCAGGCATACAGAGCAGCCCTGCCGGCAGCATACGTGGGTGTCCCCGCCCCCAGCACGCATGTGGGCCACAAGAGGCTCCTCACACGGCGGCTTTCGATAAGTGCTTCTGAAAATATGGAAGCAGACTAGGATGGCCACCTATTGCATGACACCGCTTATCACATACATCCAGAAAAGATTGACCACAACCTGCCAGAACACACCTTATGGGTTGTCAGGCAGTGAGGGAGGAACGGGGGATGAGCACTTTGGGAACAGGCTTCCCTTGTGGTGAAGGGAATGTTCAGCAAGTGGACAGTGGTGATGGAGGCTGAGCATTGGGACTGTACTTAACGCTCAGGAATTGTACAATTGAAAAGGAGAAAATGCAGAGTTCTTAAAATATAAATAAATTTATTTTACAATTTACATAAACACCAAAAAAAGAAAAGAAAACGAGAAACATAAACGGCTACACAGACATACAGGTTAAGGGGCGAGAGGAAGGGAGGTCGTGGTGAGGGAGAAGGTGGAAGGGATGGGTCAGGAGCTGGGGATGACGGGGGTTGGAGAGGGAGCTCTCCCGGGGACAATGCTGGGGCCTGAGCGGGCTCCAGGGCTCCAGGGCTCCAGGAGGATCTGGAGCAGGGGATGGCTCTCCCTGCTCCCTGGCGACAGCTTCAGCCTGCCCCAGGGCACTGGCAGGAGCCGGAGCAGGGGATGGCCCTCCCTGCTCAGCTGGTTCCATGAGAGCCGGCTGCATGGCTCCTGCCCGAGCCTGAGGAGGGGCTGGCTCTCCCTGCTCCCGTCCTGGGGTGCCGCTTGTCTCCTGCCCTTGTGCAGGAGCTGCTGGATGTGATTGTGCTCCCCGCACACGGGCTGGGTCCTGTGCTGGCTCTGATCCTTGTCCAACAGTCCCTGAGGACACCAGCCTTTTCCCCATGCCTGCCGCTATGCTGTTCCTGCCCAGCTTCTCCTCCCTCGGGGAGCTGGACTCCGTGTCCCGAGTGGACCTCTGCAAAGACAGTGACCAACAGTCAGCCCAGAAGCATCAGAGCCCTGCTCAGCTGCCCCTGCTCTTTCTTCTGCCCTCTGCGCCTAATGCTCCCAGATCAGGCACCACCCTGTGTCTGCGCAGAATTCTCCCCGGGATGAAACAGATAGACCTCAGGGGCTCGGGAGAAACCTCGGGCAGACGGTGCTGCCTGGCACTCCACGTCCCACCCGATCAGCCATGAGCTGGGGTGGGAATGGGACCCGCCCACCAGGCTTCTAACCCCTCATCTCGCGGTGGTCCACTCACACAATCACCTTCCACATACACACACACACACACGCACACACACACTAACACACACACACACACACCCAGGGAGGGGACGTAGGGCTGTCCAAGTGGGACCACAGTGGTGGCCTGGCCTGGATTGGCCCACCCTGTCCGTCCCCGTGTTACCTTTGTGTCCCTCCGCATAAATGTCCTGAGATGTCTCGAGCGGGACGGGAGCCCGTATCTGCATCCTGGGCCCTCCTTGCGGGCTCTGCTGAGGCTGCGGCCCTGGCACATGGGAAGACAACAGGAAATCATGGTGCTCCTTCTAGACAACTGCTAGATGACTGAGCTGTTGGGGGCTGTCTCTAGGAGCTGGGAACTTAATGCTCAGGAATTGTACAATTTAAAAGGAGAAAACACAGATTTCTTAAAATATAAATCCATAAATCTATTTCAAGGTGACACAAACACCACAACAAGACAAGAAAACGAAAATTATAAACGGCTACACAGATATACAGGTTAAGGTGGGAGACGAAGGGAGGTTGTGGTGAGGAAGAAGGTGGAAGGGATGGGTCAGGAGCTGGGGATGATGGGCGTTGGAGAGTGAGCTCTCCCGAGGACGGGGCTGGGGCCTGAGCAGGCTCCAGGATTCCAGGAGGATGTGGAGCAGGGGATGGCTGTCCGTGGTCTCCAGCTGTGGCTTCAGCTGGCTCGCCAGCCCCAGCAGGAGGCAGATCAGTGGATGGCTCTTTCTGGACCGTGGCTGGGGCTTCAGCAGTCTCCCAGGCACAGGGAGAATCTGGAGCAGGGGATGGCTCTCCCTCTTCCCTGGCTGTGACTTCAGGTTGCTCCTGGGCCCTGGCAGGAGCTGGAGCAGGGCATGGCTCTCCCTGTTCCATGGCTGAGTCTTCAGCCAGGCCAGAGTCCCAGCAGGAGCCGGAGCAGGGGATGGCTCTCCCAGCTCCTGGGCCCTGTCTTCAGCTGGCTCCACAGCCCTAGCAGGAGCTGAAAAGTCAAAGCCCGTGTCTTTCCAGTGCTGGCAGTCCCCAACTCCCTCCCCCAAGCTCTGCTCACAAAGCCAACCTGTGGCTGTGACAGCAGTGCCCGGCTGCCCCCTTCCCTGGGTTACAATGGGCACAGATATATTGGGGGGTTTCCTGCCAACCTCTGCCCAGTGTCCACTCACAGAGTGGCATCAAAACTTCCTCAGTCCAAGGACTGGCGTGCTCTGCTCTCATCTGCGAGCTCCCCAAGGTCCCCTCTCTTAGCTGGGGCTGGGAAGGACCCTACATGTCCCCACATCCAGACCCAGTGGCTCAGAAAGGTGGCCCAAGATGGCCATGGGGTCCTAAAGGTCAGCCTGGGAGATGCTGCCAGGAGGGTCCTGTGGTAGGTGGGCAAGTTTCTCTTGGTGCCATCAGCTTGGGGTGGGGGCCACGACTTTCCTGGCTCTCCAGAGCCTTCTCTGCTGACCTCCATGGCTTCCTCTGTCACCTCACAGGGGATGAGACCCCC